GGGGGTTGTTTTGGGTTGGGTTTTTCTGTACATGTGGATTAGTCTTTTGTATTTCTTTTCTTTATTTCTTTTTATTTATTATGGCCAGGGGCTGCTGTAGGAGGCAGGAGGGAAGCTCGAGCCATACCCAGTATTTCCACAAGATGTTTTTAAGAGGGGAACTGCAAGCATGTGCCTGAGAGAACTTTTAGCACATTTAATGAACTTTAATATCCCATTCTCCTCTCAAATTCGACATAAAGAGAGGCTTCCAAACCTCATACGGTGCCTGAATCCCAGGCAGATGCTGAGGCTGGAAAACATTTTCCTATGTCCCAAAGACCCACATCTGGCCCGGCCCGGCCCTGCTTCAGCCCCTGCAAAACACATTGCATTGCTTGAACTTTGGGGAGACCCATTCCTTAATTCCCCACGGCTACTTGGTATCGATTGCTTTTAATTGCAGGCTGGGTTAGCTCATCCGTCACCGGCCCGAAGAAAAAGTACGCTGATAAAATACGACCAGGCAATGTCACACTGGGAATTATCACACAGAAATGGTTTATCCAGTAGGAATTGCAGGGAAACTCTTAAAATTCCCTGCCAAAGGAAGTTTCTGCCCCTCTATTTTTTGTCTTTCCTTGTGCGTGACTGAAAAGCGTAAAAATAATTAAAGTTGGGTGTGTGTCCCCCCACCTTCGCCGCTGGGCTCAGCCCTGCAGATGCTTTGGCAGATGAAATGATGCTGCTCAGCCTCACGTCCCAAATTTTGTCACATTCCAGGGTAAAAACCATGGGAGGAAGCCCTTGGCATTCACCATCTACTTTCACTCTTCCCAAATGGCACCACCCATGACTTTTACCGTATAAAATAAAGGCGGGAGGCGAAGGCCAGCCGGCAGCATCCCTCGCGTGCAGATGAAAGGGATTTTTGTGAGGCCACAGACATTTGCCACACACGCCGTCCTTCCATCCGCTCCTCCACAGAGGGTGCTGGAGCCGGGTCCTGCTCCGGGCTGGGGCAGAGCTTTGCTAAGCCACGTGTTGAAGCAGCTTGGCCTGACCGTGCCTCAGTTTCCCCATATAACAACACTGTCTACCTTGGAGAAGCACTTTGAAGGTTGCCTGGCGCTACGTGGGCACCTGGCGGCCATGGGAGAGGGAAAGAAATGGGTGCTGGGGGCTCACAGATGGAGAGAGGGGCGCATCAGCCTAAAAAATCAATGTTCTTGAAGTTGAAGGAGCAGCGGTAGCGGCCGTCGAGGAACCTGGAGCATATGAAGTTGGGCAAACACGGGCAGGTGTGGTGCTGGCGCTTCCCAAAGAAAGGGACCTGCGGAGAGACAGGGAAGAGATGCAGGAGAGGTGAGGGCGTCAGGGCTCTGCCGCAACCAAAAAAATTATCAAATGGGATCAAAGCCCTGAGAAAATCTCTGGCTCTTCTCAGAGGTTTACCAGGGATATGCCTGAAATTAATTTTTGATCCCTCTGAAGCCCTTCGCTCCTTCCTCGGGCAAGCAGAAGGCGCAGCATCATTAAATCTTGCTCCTGCTGTGCAAAATCAATAGGGGAGCACGGAGTGGGACGCTCCCCCCGAGGCCGGGACGCTGCCGCTAAATCCTGACGGAGGGGGCGTTGCGGCGGCCTCACGCTTCGGGCTAATCCCAGTGCACTGGCATTTCTTATCGGACAGAAATCGCGGCGCTGGGGCGGCTCTGCGGCATTAACGTGGCTTCTCCTCGCTCGGCAGAGCCTCTACGACTCAATTTGGAGCGGCGCGGTCCGCACTTTTCTTTAAATGAATGGGGTAGGCGGTTGGGTCCCAGCTGCGAGTCGAGGTCTGCAGCACCCATGGGGCACCCCGAGGATTTAGGGTGGCGTGGACGGGCAGGGGGTTGCTCAAAATAGGTTCGAGGCTGAAACCAGCTGCACCACGCCAGCTCGGGGGCCACCACGATGTTGCCCGGAGCCACAGCCCAACCC